TGACAACTGATGACAATAGTAATTGAATTGTAGTTATTATGCCTGGGTAGACGTTGGTCAACAAAAATTCTGGGTTGGTGTTAGAGACTACCTTTTTTTCTTTTTGATGTCTGTGTGTTCATGTATGTGTGAGGAGATCATTGATTTATAAAGATTCATAAAAAAGAAAATTCTTTTGCATATGTGTTGTAGTTTTGTAGAGAGAGAGGGGGGGGGAGTGCATTTCTGTCCAATTGTCCAAGGGACATTATCAGAATGATGAGGGTTTAATGAACTAGAAATTCCTTTCTTATTGCACCATTTTTCAGATGACAGGAATTCTTTTTTTTTCTTTTTCTAAGCTACTCAAATGGAATGCCTTGAAACTTTTTTTTTTTTTTTGATAAATGGAAAAGGAGGACTGTTTTCTACGGTCTCACGCAAAAGCTGAATTGCAATTGCATGATTTTTGCTAAAAAATTAACATTTATATTAACTGCTTTTTTGTAGAAGGAATTTTGACCTAATTAATTTAGGTTCTCTAATATTTTCTTGGAGGAAGGATGGGAAAACAGAGAACACACACACATATATATATATATATATATATATATATATATATATATGAAAGTTACAAACCACAAATCAGATACACGAATGTTGTAGATGCAGTAGACTCTGACTAGTAAGTAATAAATCTCACAAGACAATAATAGAGGCACATTGCAAGGAAGTAATAGATGGAGATAAAACTGAGATTTGCATATTTTGTGAAATAGCCAGAAATTTAAATTTACTAAGTGATCATGCTGACATATTGGCTGGGTATTGGAGACGTCAAAAAAGACTTGCAATCAAATGAATGGGCACCAACAGATTTTGAAAAAGACTTGAAAATCTGTTGGTGTCCAATCATTTGATTGCAAGTCTGTTTTTGTGTGATCTTTGGCTAAATAATTTAGTTATATCAGGTGGACTGATGATTGCGTCTAGCATGAAACATCCTGTCATCTCTAAGTGTTGATTTCAAATGTTCACTTTTATATTTACACACGCTCTATCTTATCCCATAAATATAGCACACCTTAAGAGTATATTTCTTCATATATACATATATATAAAGTTTTAAGGTATACTATGTTTATGGATGAAAGTATTCAGTATCAGAGATAAAGCAAATGTGGATGTAAAAGTGAACACGAGGGTCAACACTGAGCAGCAACAGTCTGTTTTATGCAATCTTCATGCCTGAAGATTGTGTTCAAGGATGCAAGAAATTGTCACCACTCAGTGTTGAAGAAATTTAGGTAACAAATCCACATCATGTATCACAGACCCACACAAACTTTGTTGCCTAAATTTCTTTGCTTTTTGAAAATGACTCTGAGGAATTACTTTAATGTCTTATATTGTCTAAAAGAAAGAAATCTCACCTTGCCCATAATAGTTTGTACATTTATTGTACAAAATGTGAAGCCAAATGTATCGGCTATTATAGGATAAGGATAGTATACATTTGGTTTCTTTGTATTGAAAAATTAAATTGATATAAAATCAAATTGTAAAAAATAAATTTCTCTGTGGCAATCCGGGCTTTTAGAAATTAATTTAGAGTTAATAAAAATTCAACTTAATTATTTTTTAATTTAAAAACATAAGTAAAAATAATAATGATGATGTGCAAAGCTAGTGTAATATATTGATGGGCATGGCTTAGCCAAAGAAAATTATATAATATGGTTGAATTGATATGATTTGACAAGGTGTAATCAAATGATGGTATGACACATTATTAGTGAAAGGAGAGTAGCAATGAGAGGATGGGTGTCTCTTGTAGTGCAGCTCAAGAGGGAGACATTGTCACCTGGCAACCCATCCATGTAGTCAAAACCACTTCTCATTCTTTCTCTAGCCAAAGCATTAAATAAAAGCAAGAATTCTACAAACAGAAATTTAAAAATGTATGTTTCAGTTACATTTTGATGGTCCTACCACTAATATGATGATCACTGGTTCATGAAAAAGTATGAAAATTAAGCAGTTTATTATATTAGCATACTAAAAAAAATAAAACAAAGGTGTAGCTGATGTTGAAAATGATGTGGTTGATTAAATAATGTGTTAAGTATAGTGATATTCAACCTCTCTATTATAGGTGATTGGAAACCTGGGTTAGCAGATAAAAATACATTGTGTAATTATTAAAATTTTAACTTAAGTGGTTGTCGAAGAAATTGAAAAAGAGGAGGAATCACAAGGTAGAAAGTAAATGAGGATATGAAGAAGAGAAAGAAAGAAGACATGATAGAAATGGAAGAAAGATAAAGGAAAAAAAAGAAAGATAAAATATATAAAAGATTCAGATTGAAATAAAAATATTTTAAAGAGTTAATACATGAGAAAAAAAATAATGAAGTATAACTTGAGAATGAAAGATAGAAACCAAAATAAAAGATGAGAAGATTTAAATGGTAGTAAAAAAAAATGAGCAAAGTGTGTAATTAAAGAAAAAGAGACATGAAAATTGAGAGAAAGAAAAATGTCACTAAGAAAGAAAGAAAGAAAATGATAGAGGGAGCAAAAAAAAAAAAAAAAAACGATACTAGAGATTGTTGCTTGAAAATTTAAACTTTTTCCTCATTTCAATCTGCCACAATGAAATAACCATACTGTAAAAACTAAAGTGCATTTCTATCAACAGACTTCAAATAGTTCATAGATTTGGCTGTGTATTTTTCTCAGTTAAATTTAGTAACAACCAATAGTCCACAAAAGCATACTACACAGTAGTAGTTTTAGTACACACACAGAGTCTAAACCACAAGTTTTACACTTATTTGCATGTACAATAGTCATAACTACATTTTTAATGTGGTTGCAACAGAAACAAACACACACACAGGCAATAATTTTATCATCTACAAATCACATGTGTACTACAGAAGGATGAAATCAGGTTAAAAAAAAAACATGCTTTTTGGTAATCAATAAACTAAAATAAGGTAAAGTATGTTTATATTTCAATGTTTATTTCACAGCCTCATCAGGAAAACAAACCAGTGTAATATCTTCAGTTATCTTTGTTAACATTATCGTGGCAACTTTTATCATCTCTGGCATAAAGATTCCCCCCCCCCAGTGAAAATATAAGCTTCAAAAAAATTTTGTGATTATAATTGTTATAGGCAAAAAATTTTAAAGAATTTTTTTTAATAATTTGTTTGTTTTTTTTTAAGTGGCAGAGGTGAAAAAAATGAATTGGTAATTCTAATTCTTATCTTTTGTCAAAAAACATTTTGATTTATGAAATCATGCCATGAAAAAAGATCTTTTATCATGGTTGTAAATATGATAAATTTTAGTGCTTTGTTATTATTCTCTGTGAAAATCCAACAATTCATATAACTCACAGTGTGTGTGTATATATATATATATATATACACACACACACACACATATATATATATATATAAAATTGTATATTTGGGCAGTAATCCCTCTTTTATACAAGTTTCATTAAAAATGACTGACAAGGTTAATATCAAGTAAATGTTCCAAATGTCTGAGCAATTTCAGCTATACTTTTAACCATTATCTAGGATTGACATACAGGATATTTGGACAATTTCTACATAAATTATAAGAAAACAAGTAAAATTAAATATAAAACCTAACCACGGTACCTTGTCAGTCATTTTTAATGAAATATATAAGGTATCTCAAAAAATGTATGCCTACTTTTACAGTGTATAGCTCAAGTCGACTTGCTTTCTTTTCAGATTTACACCTTAGCATTACTAATGTCATCCAGGCTGAGCTTTGAGCAAAGGAATTTCATCCTGAAATGCTACTGGAAGTACGAAAATACAGTTGAAGTTCAAATCGAAATGATCACTGCTTGTGATTCCATTATGTCACATTTCAACAATGCTTTATTATAATGGACATCAATTTAAAAACACGTGATGCCAAAATCTTAAGAACATGCACATATAATAAATACTGTTTTCATATGCATTATTTAAATTAGATATAGTTGGTTCTAGTTTGAATTATTTTTTGGAAAACTTTCAAAATGTGTATACATTTTTTTGAGACACTGTGTGGGTATGTGTATATGTGTATATAGCACACACATTTCTTTAAAAACATAAATATGCACATATAAATTAAGAAAATTAAAATAAGATGCTTAATTTTATATTACTATTAATATGAATATATTAAAAAAAATTATGTACAAAAAATTCTAAGTATTGTCTAATTAGGTAACAAGCTAAAAACTTAAAAGTATCTATTATTTAATTATTTCAGTAACTGAAAAGTTTTCTGCAAATAATCTTGTCAATAAGACCAACAAATGAAAATAAAATCATTTCTATGCGATCAGCATTTGATAAACAAAAGTGCGAGGATTTTGTCAATATTTCAATGTTTACTCACATCCTCATCAGAAACTGTGTACATCAGGCGATTAACAAAATACAAATTACACACATATCACTAAAATAAGCATTAAATCTTCAACAAAATCAATCATTTTATTTGTTCACCAAATATTGATTCCTAATGAAACAAGTGATTATAGATTGATTACATTCCTTACCTCCTCACATCCTCCCTATTTAAAAAAAAACAAAAAATAACTGGACCACCTTCACCAATGATGGTGAAGATAAAAAAAAAAAACAAACATTGAAATATAAACAGAATTCACACTTCTGGCTTGCTAACTGAATACCGATTTCCTACAAGCATGTAATTAGGAACCAATTCTGTCCTCTTTGTTTTTAAGTTTGACCTCATGGAAATGATTATTGTAGAAATGACAGTATGCACACACACACACACACAAGCATATATACAAACGACTATAATCCAGTTATTGTAGTAAGATGCCTGGAAAATCCTGTTGTAACTGACAGTCAACAGATAGTGTTCACAATTCACCAGTCATTCCTCCAGTGTCTTCTGAATCAATGTTTCATTGCGTCAACTCAATTGCAGGGCGGTGATGCAACTCATTGAGGGGTGGCAGCCTCATTTACTCCCAGTTTCTTGTTAGTTTCTGCTTGCATGCGTGCTTCATATTCACGCAAGTCATCAATGCTCATACCTGCAGCACAAAAAGGAAGAAATAAAATAGATAAAACAAAAATGTTAACACAATCACGTTGAAGAACAAAAAGGAAGTTTTTCATTAACCCATAAAATGGTGAGGAAAATGATGCATGAATGATGGTAAATGGTCGTTTTTTTTTTTTTTTTTGTAAGGGAAAAATGCCTTCATGATTATTTTCACTTTAATTATATTGGAGGGGGGGGAAGGTATATAAATTTTTGTATACCATATTAGGAAAACCAATGACAAAGTGGAAAAAAAAAAAATTCATGTGACATGTTTTGGCCTTTTAGAACATCATCAGATTAAAGTGATATTTATTTTAATGTTACTATTGTTTTTTTTTTAATTTTGTCATTCATTTTCCAGCAAACCTGAACCTTCATACCCCCATAAAAAACAGTGTGTCAAAACAATGTTTTTTTCTATTGACACTGATATTATTTTAACTACCTTTACTCCTGGCCAATGTTTAGAATTTTAATAAAACCTAATTATATGATGAAAGTGAATTTATACATTTTTTTCTTCTTAGGAATTTATAACAAAAATATTAAACACTAAGGAAGGTAGCTCACCTGAACATTTTCCATAGAAATAGCAATAAAGTAATGAGAGTCTTGCAATGTTTAGTCTGTAGGGAAAGGGGCTGTAGGGAGGAAAATAATGCATCCACCTACAAGACTGCTTAGATGCTTTTGGACTATTAAGTCTGAGCAGTTCTAGTCCAGATATTTGTGTGTGTGTGTGTGTGTGTGTATATATATATATATATATATACACACACACACACACACACTTATACACACATACACATTTTTAATTATACACATGTTATTAAAAACAGCAAGCATTTTATGTAGATGATTTTTTGTACTTTACTTCTGAAATGAAATTCAGACAATTTTTGAGAGAGTTTTCTCCTTGTCTGAGAAGGATTATTCATAATTTGGAAAAGTTTATGTAAAATAAATTAATACAAAATGTTTTTGGTTTTTCATATTTTCCTTAAAGAACATTTTCTGCTTAAATACAGATAAATAAATATATATATATTTCCCTTTACTGCAGGGTAGGATCTGCAACTGATACTAAATCGGTCAAGTTTCAATCCTGGCTTGAAGCAATCTGATGTCTAGCCACACTGATGAGCTGTGATACAGTGAAACCAGCTTGTATGTGGATGACTATACATATTATATATCCATATATAAGATAAGAACAAATGGAGCATAATTCCACTGTCTGTAGTATTTAATTTTAGAAAAAGGGCTCAATACAAAGTAGAGCTTAATATTATTTATTATAGGAGATTAAAACAAAAACATGTTAAAAATTGCTACACAATAGCTTTCATGCTTTAGCACTAAGCTGCACCTCTTCAGGCGATGGTAAATGACTGGTGAGTAAATGATTATTTTCATCAAACAAAAAGAGCAGTTGACTAATATTCCTTCCTTTTTATACTCACTCAAAACATTTATCTTTTTATTCGTTTTTTTACTAACAAATTGGTTTTAGTTATGTTTCAAAATTTCCCCTCTTCATTCACTATTTTGATTTTGTGAATATTGTCTTGTGTCTCATCCCAATTACACTTGTGGTAGAGGATTACTGTGTGGTGCTGTATGGGCAGGAGAAAAAAAAAGTAAGAAGTGAAGTTCCTGTAGCTATACAGGAAAGATAACTGTTAAATTTAAAGAGGTCATGATTGGGAAAATGTCTTGCCAGGAGTCTGTTCTACAAAGCAGCAGCTCTTAGGAAGAATCTGTCTGAGAGGAATTTACTTCTTATTAAAGGAATGAGAAGGGAATGGAAATGGTTCCCTCTTGAGTATGTGGCATGGCAGATCCTTGTTGTAAAGGTCAGGGTTGGTGGGACCAAGGAATGTAGCTTGCCAGAAAACACATACTCTGGAAATAATGACAGAGCAATGAAAGGCTCACAATGTTTTGTCTGTAAAAAGGATTGTAGAAAAGAAACCCTGATCTGTCAGTGAATTCCATGGCCCCAATAAGATGGTTAGTATACCATAAAGGGAACCCTTTTGCAGTAGTTATCTCCTCTTCAAATACCCTGCATCAGGTTGTACTGAGTTACATGGCATTATTGGAAGAAGAAAAAAAAATGTTTGACCTGATTGTGATATGCAATATATATATATAAAACAATTCTTCATATAATTTTGAGTATTTATTAATTTCTGAATTTTATACCAATTTAATTTATACAAGATATGATTCCATAACAAGTGAGACGTGTATAGTATGTTCTATACACAGCCTATTTCTCAGAGAAGAACATTAATTTGATGCCTTTCCATGGCCACAACATCTCATCTTTTTATCATACATTTTTAATTTCCTTTCTTGCATTACAATCTAATTGATCTAAACTGTAGCCATCTTGTTAGACCTTATTTTCTATGAATATAGGCTTTGTATAACTTATTGATACCAAAGTTATTCTGGCTGCAAACAAAAATAGAAGAATGGTTTTGTATGACTCTCAAGTCCTGTACACTCCAACTGTGAAATATAGGGCTATAGCCTCAACATGTTTAGTGTTGCTGCAGTGGCTTCCATAGCAGGTAGGTTTTTCATGAACTGAAGTTGCTGGCACCATGCTTGAACTCATTTTGAATTCAGAATTGTTCTTTTAGATTGGTTGCCAACCAAGGCTGAAGAGTACAGTCTGCCCACAGCTGAGAGGAGAAAACAAGGATACATACCTTTCCCAAGGTTATTTGTGGAAAAAGTAAATCTATCAAACTCAAAAGGAATTTGAACTTGGCTGTCTTATTTTTCATCCCAATCATTAACCACACTAGCTGTATATCCTAACCAAATATCAAATCTGTTTTGGTCAGTTTACAGAAAGACAAAATCTAAAGTCAATTTTAAAATGACCTCATACTGGTTTGAATGTTTGTTACTAGTGAATCAACTCACATTTGACATTAGCTTATGTTTAAACCTGTAAATATTGCATACAAATATGGTTGTAAAGAGTGTGTGACAAATAAATCTTTTATAATAAAATAATATACATGATATTAAGACAGTGTCCATAATTTTGAGTTGAGTTATTATTATCCCAAGAATTGTTTGAATTATTAATCTCAATCTCTTTGCTAATTTTGTTGACTCCATCATGCTTTTTTTTTTAATGATCCATTCATAAGTGTACAATTCTATGGAAGGAAAGGATTCTCCCTCCACCCCACTCCAAGGCAGTATCCATAAATCATCTGACAATTTTCAGTAGAGAAAATAAAACACTAACTGGAAAAAAACTAATCCTTCCATATTGAATGTGCACTCAAAGAAAAGAATGGATTGGTTAAAACATAGACTGTCAACTTTGGTTAGAATAGAACAGGAATCATGTCGATAGTTTGTTAAACTTATTTTATTATAAGTGATCAGGTATACAATGAAATTTTCAGGTTTTTCTTTCTTTAAAAAGCTTACTAGCAAAATATATTGATAAGTTGATATAAATTATCTTGGACATTTTGAGGCATACAATTTAACACACAGAGTATTTAAGCAATAGCAGCCATTTTCTTTTTTTCCACAAATTTGGATTAACATTTCAAATTTAATACAAATTCAATAGCAAGAATTATTGATAATCAAAGTTATATTTAATAAAAAAAAAATAAAATAAAATAAAAGTATTTAAACTTGATATTTATTTGAATAACATAATTTATTTATAGGGTTAAACAGAAAAACTGAAATTTTTGCTTGTGAACTGGAAATTGTGGTTTTGCCATAATGGATGCCAAAAGAATATCTCCAGGCTATGTAGAAAGAGATGCATTTGGCCATTTCTTTTATGTGTTGTGCCCCTTCAGGGTTTGTGTGATCATGGTTCTCCACAACTTCCTATCCTTTGTAGCTCTTGGCAAGATTTGTCTACTTACTATTCCCCCCGACACACACACATTGTCATCCATTTACACAAGCTTGTTTGATAGGTTACTTGTTGTTTCTCTTTGCCACTCTTGCATTATAATCTGTGAGTGTCAAATTGTCCAAATTCTAAATTGAAGCACATGAAGTCAAATGTCTAATATATAATAAATATCATCAATCTTATTGACAATATTGTTATCATTTTGTCATCTTTTTATTCCTCAAATTTCATTAACCGGCCTATTAAATTTACATATTATAAGAAGCACTTGTGGACCATCTTTCATTTTAACTATATATATATATATATATACCAACAAAGGAAATCATAAACCTGGTCATCCGTATTTTCCCGAGTTTCACATGTATGGTTTGTTAGTTGTTTTCAATCTTAGACAAAGTGTATCATTTATTGATAGAGAAAGTGTGAAAGAGAAAAAAAAATGACACCTACCATACCACTCGTCAATCCAGGCAAATGCTTGTCTATGACCAAGCAAAAGAATGTCTCGAATTGC